CCTCTGATCGTCCACGTTGCACCATCCGACTCGCCGTCCCATCCGACCCGCGTACCCAGCGACCCGTCCCATCCGACCCGCGTACCCAGCGACCCGTCCCATATGAAGCCGAGGCAGTCGAGGCCTCGGTCACGCATGACGTACGCGTACGCGCTGCGTACAAGCGTACGCCCCGCGTACCAAGGCAGACCAGCCTCCCTATAAATAGCATACGAGGGTTTGCAAGGAAAGGGATCATTTCTCTTCTCTCTCTCACAACTTTGCCTCGTTTTCCGTGTCCGTTCAAACCCGAAGCTCTTGTCTTTTTGGCTCAAGTCCCGAAGGTCGATTTTACCCCCGAGATTCCCGAGAATCCCGAGGAAAATCCGTTTCCCGAGACGAAACTCTGCCCGGTTTTCCATCTCGCTATCTCCAAAACTTTCAAGTGAGTTTCATACCCTTAATCAACCGTTTTAAATATTCTAAATACTTTTATATGCTTTCAAGGGGGGGATTACAAGTAAAACACACGAGTATTATTGTGTGTTACATAAAGAAACTCATTTATATACTGTTAAATATTCAAATCACATTCGATTTATAAACCTTTAAAGGAACTTTTATATATAAATATATAACATACATTACAATAGCATTCGATCTTTTAAAATGTAAAGTTGTTGTAATACATGTATAAAACTAAACTGTTCTTAAATTATTCTTTTCTATCTTAGACTCTACACCAAAAATCTATGCTTTCATAAACAAATTATTCTTTTCCTAAGTATTTCTAAACAAACAAAGCACACTTTTTAAAACTATAATAGGTATAGTTTTACGAACAGATTTCTAACTCTTATGTACTAGAAACATATATTTTCAAGAAGTTTACTTTCGTATACAAGCACAAACGTAACATTTTAACAAGTAGATCTGTTTTTATACCACGGATTTGTGAGACACTAACTTCATGTACGTTCGAGTACACATTTCAAGTCCTGTATTATATACCAGAATCCCTTGGAGGGGGAGCATGGTGTTTGTGTATAGATCTATACGGGCTTGACAACCCGCTCCCTGACTGTTAGCTGCAGTCCACCGTTTGGGGTGACAAACGTCATAACATTCCAACGCCTGAAGAACGTTGTGTATAGGCATTTCGAGTCAATAGTATGGTTATAAAACTCACAAGGGGTATTAAAAACGCATTGATTTACAAGGTTTTCAAACTCATTTATTATTTTACGTTTACACACATTTTGGAAACAAACATTGGTCTTGAACAAAGGCTACTTTTATGCTAGTAGAAAATATAGGATTTTCTAAACACATACAAACAAATATAAAACATTTCATTTCATTCAAACATTGTCATTTAAATACTTATGAAATTCACCAGCTTAAATGTTGATCTACTCTTTCAAAATTACTTGTATGTCCCAGGAAATCAGTAATTTCATGTATGCATTTCGCTTTTGATGAAGGGATGCTGCGGCGCCAATTTAATCTCGTATTTTGACATCATATTGTAATTGAGTTTTGAACATGTAACTTTGACAAAATGTAAACTTTCAATTATATATATATGATGGTTGTATTGCTTTCTTTACTATGTATTCATTTGTTACGTTACCACATGAAGTCATCCGCCCGAACGTTTCCGAACGTTTCCGCCGTTCAGGTTTG